TGCACGGCTGCACGCCCAACGAATAGCGAATAACGAGCAGCGGACGGCAAGGTCGCCAGATAGCTAATCGAACTGCCCGATCCCCTTCATTGGCGAGACCCCGTCGACTCCGCTGCGTGCTTGGGTTATATACCTGACCTGCTCTGATCGACCGCTTTTCCCCGTCGCTTCGACCAACGGCGACTCACCGACCGAGGAAGAGGGACACCAAGGAGAAAGAAGAAGACGGTCACCACAGGCTGGGCCTCGCGAGCTCTTATCTCGATATCGATCGGTCTTCTTTTCTTCTTCTCGGGGAGTGGAGGCAATGGCGACTATTTCTCTCTCAAACTAATGCAGGAAAATCTGGCGTTGGCTCGCTGAGATCGCACAATCCCAAAGAGATGCGGGCTACGGGCATCTCTTCCTTTCACTCCTGGTAAACTGCTGTTTACGGTGCTTGTCGGCAGACTCACCTTTTTAATATCTTTTTTTCTATATTATTTTGCTCCCCACACCCCCCCCTTTTTGCCTTTCTTTTCTACATACGATCCTTTCAGCTATCGTCTTTATACTCCGTTGGGGGAGGAGGAGGAGGAGCAATCCCTGATTGTAGACCATTCTCGAGAGAGGGGAAAAAAAAAAAAAAAGGAAGAAGCAGAAGGAGGAGAATAATACAAGAAACCTACATGGGAGGGCGAATCCGGGCCGTATCCCCTTGAAGATGGATTCCCGGTCACGGAACGCGAAGAAGACGCCCGAGGAAGAAGATGACAGAGGTCGGATAAGGAGCTCGAGGTCAAGAAACACTCGACATGACAAACGAGATCAGGATACCGAGACCGGCGACGGGGAGTCATCGAAGCTCTCCTGGATGTCGGCCGGACTCCTGTCGAGACAGACATCTAATACTCTAGCTCGCCAGATGAGTATCCCCAACGATAGCAGGCCAGAGGAACGTCGAACGTTGGCCCAGAAGCTTCATCTTTTCCCCCACAGACCTCACTCGTCCAATACCTCTCGTGACTCCTCGACAAACACATCCTCAAGCTCGTTGCCTTCTTTAGTTGACCCGGCTGCTGGTTGTGAGGCAGGCCCTCCTTCCAGCTCGATACCAGCTGCTTCCTCTTCGACAGTTTCTGACCCCTTCGGCCAGTCCGTCACCACTCCCAGACAGACCGCCGAGACCGGCAATGTTCCTCCCCTGAGTCCCCTGGCCGAATTGCCGATGGTCGCCCCCCGTGCCACAATTCGCGGCCCATCCCACGACCTCCCTGTTTATCCAAACCAGTCATACGCAATGCTCCAGCAGCAAATTCATCCTACGCCCTACCGATCACCAACTCTGCGTACTCGGAGCTCCTATCCCTCACATTCTGATTTCGCTTTCCCACAACCTACCACTCCTTGGGCGCGAGAGTCGAATGCGTCCCCAAATTCACGTACAGTCGGCAACACCCCAATATCTAGTCCTGGACTATTCTCTGCACGGACACCTCGCACCTCTCCTTCCATCGGCTCCGAAGATGGCCAAGCTGGTGCCCACCTGCACCGAACACATATGCAAGAACCAAAAGAGTATGGATTGCCTTACCTCCCTTATTGGCAGCCGTTTAATGTCCCACATTCCTTGTGATACTGACTTTCTATCGTTACTAGAACGCATACCGTCGAAGTGGATCGCCACGAGCTCACCGGAAACAAATTAATCAACGAGTACGAGATTCTAGAGGAGCTCGGACGTGGAGAGCATGGTAAAGTCAAATTAGGTCGCCACCTGAAGACTGCCCAGTCCGTCGCCATCAAGATTGTGCAACGATACTCCAAGCGTCGTCGTCTGGGCAAGCTAGGTAACCCCGAAGACAAGGTCAAGAAGGAGGTTGCCATCCTCAAGAAGGCCCGCCACCCTAATGTCGTCAGCCTCCTCGAAGTCATCGACGATCCGAACCAGCAAAAAGTCTACATTGTGCTCGAGTATATCGAGAACGGTGAGATAGTATGGAGAAAGAAGGGGCTGAAAGAGATCGTTTTGGTTGATAAACAAAGACTTGACCGTGAAAAACGAGGTATTCCCGACTCTCTTTCTTTCATCGAGAATAGTCAACAGTTTATCCATAATACTCAATTGCGTCGACGGCATATAGAAGCCCTGCGTCAGCGTCAGAGAGCGAAAGGCGCTCAGCACATCGGCGTTTCTGGCTGGAGCTTGGAACATGGTGGCGAGTCGGACAACGAGCTTGATACCGACTATCCTCCCATGTCCAAGTTCCCCACGGCCTCGTCGGCGCATTCGCATGATACCCCTGAATTCCAGATTTCTCCGCAGCACTCACTCACTTCGACCGGAGAATTCGACAGACGGATGCGGGAGATGGCTGGCTTCGGCAGTGATAACGGTTTGTATGGCGGATACGCATCAGATCCCATGTTTGCACGCCGGTACAGCAATGCGTCCAGCCACCTAGCTTTCCAGACTGAGTCTGACTGGCTATCTGATGATGATGATACGGGCTATGTGCCCTGCCTAACACTTAGTGAAGCTCGTACTGCTTTCAGAGATGCCGTCTTGGGTCTTGAGTATCTACATTATCAAGGTATCATCCACCGTGATATCAAACCTGCCAACCTACTTGTTACGGGTAATCATCGAGTAAAGATATCCGACTTTGGTGTCTCGTACCTTGGCCGCCCCATCAGAGATGAGGATGAGGAACAAGTTACCGAAACTGATGCCACAGAATTGGACGACGCTCGAGAATTATCAAAAACCGTCGGGACTCCTGCTTTCTATGCACCAGAGCTCTGCTACACAGGCGTTGAGTGCGAACCTACCGTTGGAAAGGACCCCAAGATTACCGGCGCTATTGATGTTTGGGCCCTTGGAGTCACGCTCTACGGAATGATATATGGCAGGTTGCCCTTCGTTGCAGATGACGAGTTTAGTTTGTTCCAGAACATCGTTAGACATGACGTCTTCATCCCAACTAAGAGGCTCAAGGCTGTTGTGGCTGATGAGCCCGTCTCTGATCACCCTCACAGTCATTCTTACACTTATTCTCATTCCCACACCCAAAGATCTTCCAGTGTGAGTAGCAGCACACGTTCTGAAGGTGAACTTGCCTATGAGGCCGTCGACGAAGATTTGCGTGACCTTTTGCGCCGCCTGTTGATCAAAAACCCATCAAAACGGATTACCCTGAAGGAAATCAAACATCATCCATGGATCACCCGGGATATTCAGGACCCCAAGGCTTGGATCGAAGACACTGATCCTGGGTACCAGAGCAAAGGCAAGAAGATCGAGGTTTCCAACGACGATGTCATTCGTGCTGTTACCAAAATGCCGTTTATTGAACGGGTACGCTCCAATGTCGTTAAATGGAGTGGCAGTATATTTGGTCGCAGGCGAGCCCCCAGCTCTACTACATCAGTTGATACTGCACCCTCTGTCTCGTCTGGTAGTAGCTTGACCATTGGTAAGGATATTATCCGAGAGCTTAGAAGGACTAGTTTACGCGGTGATGAGGAGATTACCAGAACTCCAAGAGCCGGCAGGGAGGGCGAACATCCACTTTCACAGAGCCTAGTGGTCAGCCCTGACTTGCAAGCTGATATTAAACATCCAGATTACTTTGGTCGTGTAGCTACATCACGGACAGCTCCGACGTCGGTGAACTGCTCTCCTGTCCAGGAACCTCGTCCAGATCTACCTTGTCGCACCGTCTCGAAACTTTCTAGTGCTGGATCGACAAAGACAATTCGCCCTGCTAATTTGGAGATGTCATTCCTTAACGATCCGTCCGCCACGGCAAGTGGAAACGACTCTTTCACTCCCTCTCCTGGTGGAATGACCATATTTGGAGGAGCCAGGAACAGACTCGTCAAGAGTTTTCATCTGCGAGACAGGCGAAATGATAGCTGCGAATCCCCAGAACGTGGCTCCTTCGACGCAGCATGCCACTCTACGCCCAGTGTAGCTATCTCTTCCGCCTCAGCTACTGGTCTAGTCAACCCTCCAGATCTCGCTCATGAATCAAATACCACTCCAACTCCTCATGCCTCGCCGCGAAGGTATACCATTCACAGACGGAGTAAGTCCCATCAGCTTCGACAAGACGCAAATCTCGCCGGACCACCACCTGCCCCTTTGCATCGCGATTTTCTCTTCCGTAACCCCGACTCAACATCCCATTATCATCTAGGTCAAGACAACGCAACCATTGTGAATGCCGACAAGGATGACTTCCACATACACACATCGCCTGTGCATTATCTTAACACCTTGGAACCCGAGAGTTACGAGGATGACCCGTTCAAGTATCAGCCAATAGCCAGACCAATCACATCTCCTCCGTCAGCAATCACCATGTCCTCCTCGTCCATGGATGATTATAATAGCGAGATGTCCCACTGTGCATCACACCCAAGCATACCATCCGTCGTATCAGGTGCCTCCTCTCTATCTGCAGACGGCCTCTCGGCATACCCTGTTGACCTGCAGTATGAGAAGAAGAGTGAGAAGGAACATGGTACTTGCACATGTCCAGTTGTCCCGCCGATGCTTCGAACAGGCGATACCGTTACGGATGACTCCACGAGGACGGCTACGGACGACAATAAGCGACCAGAGCCAGTAGAAATGGAATCTAATGATGATGACCAACGATACCACGGTGACGACGAGGACGAAGATGACGATACCAGCGATGAAGGAATTACTTTTGGCAGACGCAAGTCTAGCGTATGATGATGCATGATCGAAAAATCCCACTCTACAACCTTCCTCCTTGGAATTCTCCATTCTCTGGATACGCGGCATACGAAATGAAATAATGACCAAAGACGTGTGAATTGCATACGTAATTATATAATCACTACACCCGACAATACTACCAACTCTCTGCCAATTACTACTGCGCCTCATAGACCATCATTTCTGGTCCTCTACGCTTCCTTTTTTTCACCCTTGCATTGTATCAAGGCTATACGATATATCCACACGACATCCTATATTTCATACCTCAGTCACATCCTGCATGGGCATTACGGAGTTTATTCCCATTACCCCTTCTTCCTTTTGCTGTAAAATTTGGGTAGCATACATCTTTGCTCATTTCTCTTCTCCATTTTCCCCTCCTTTTCGTCCCCAATGTCCCTTTTTCTCCGTCAGATATCCCCGTAAACCTTTGTTTCGCTGTTTATATTACCCTTCTTTTTAATCTTGGGGGAGTTGATTGACATAAATGGATGCGGTCCAGTGAGGTCAACTGTTTGCATTTTCTTCTACTACACTACTTTTTTGTTGTCTTTTGGATTGGACGAGTCGGAATTGGTGGGAGGGAGGTGTGTATACTGACTGTACTGATGAATGAGAAACAAATCTAATTGATGAAATGAGGGAGAAAAGCGAAGAAACGAAAACACGTTATTCTCCATTCTCTCCTATTTCCCAGCCGGCGTGCTCTTATTTGGTGCTTTGATGTGGAAGACAACCACCTGCAACCTGCATTATATTCGTTTCCCCTGCAGCGATTGATACCAGTTCTATCTTGCCTGACTCTTTCCCCTGTAATCTTGGGCCGTGTATAATAATAATAATACTACATTTGGATGGGGTTGGAATCTTCAAATCTGCATTACATTACGTTCGTTAATTGCGATTCAGACTAAAATCGATGTCTTGATTCTTGGACTATGTATACTACAACAACTTTGCTACAAAATATATAAATAGCAACTCTTTGGCAGCTTCTTGAAGATCTTCCGCGCTGGGAAGTCGATCTTGTGCCTTTGTGGCGCAGTCCATGCACCGCCCATCCTCCAATATATCGATGACACTAGGACCCCATAACGGGCCCCAGAATCAAGATATTTACGTCAGACATCAGTCGATAAGGCAGAATTATTCGCTTCTATAAATAATTCTGCCTTACATGGCTTCTAGAAAGCGTCTCTAACGGGTGTGTATGGATCTCCGAGTGCGCGGATGAATGGGGAGATCTCTCAACGTCGAGGATCTGAGGCGATTTTTGGTACGGAGTAAGCGAGGTACCGGATACTCTCGAACTGGCCTTCAGACCTTCGAACAGCCTTCCTGTCCTTTTTAACTACCTACCGGGGAGTGAAAGGGCACCGATGCATGCAAGGGAGATTTTTATTTTGTCCACAGTATTAGGGCATGCCTGCGTCAGAAAAGGAACTACATTCTCAGCTCTCGGCCTTATTCTCACCGGTCTTTCAAGAAGATAAAGGACCTGTTCGGCGGATCGGATTGGACGTGATAATCTGGCATGTTAATGGTGTCCCTGTCTGACTGGAGAGATGCCGCCAATCAGGTACCATGTACAAAGCGATTGGTGTGTCTCTCAGCCTTGTCCCGCCTTCGTCCCACATACAGCCTGAATCCAGGTCGACATCTAGCTTGGGGGTTGATCGCTCGGGGCGCAAAGCCGTCAAGTAAATGTGCAGTGGGCCAGGGATATGAGTACTGAGTACCTTCAGCTACGTTAGTCTGTGCTGGTCAATGAGTATCACAGGCAAACCAACCTGTGCAAGGCACAATATCTACCAACGCATAGTCGATCATTCGGCCTGCAGATATATTGATCTCCGGCATCCTGGCCTCATGCGCACTTCAGCTGTGATGGGCAGCTTAACCCGCAAGCTTACTGCCTAGATGGCAACTTGGGGCCAAACACTCGCTGACGGTGCCTTGCTTGAGCCGCCAGGGGGGAACAGCACACAGGCCTAGGGTCGCTGAAACCGTCAGCCACAATTCACTTCCTGGCCCTGACAGTCTTCGAGCTCCGTGCCCTCACCACTCGGATACCTCCCCTTGGAACCTGAGGGCCCACGAGTGAAAGAAAGAAGCGAGAAAGAAGACTACACAACGCTGTGTTGTTTCCCTTAGACCCCCTTTTAGCGGGAAGGATAGTGCCAAGACCCGCGAAAACGCAGAAGTCCAACCTCCACGTCTCGCTCATCCCTCGTTCACAGCTACATCTTCGCCTTCTCGCCGTTTCCTCCCGCCCGCTCGCCCCAGATACGGCATATCGACACCCTGCTTTGGGCCTCCAGGCTACGTTTCGTCTGCTGGATGCTCGCCGTCGGGTGGCCTTTTGTGCGGTTCCTGTTCAACACGATTGCACAGAGCTAGTGGGGTCATTCGGCATCAGCGAGCCCTCCTTATTTCGCAGGCACCGACAAACGGACGACCGTCATACGAAGTCTTGCGCATCGAGCGCACCATCTCGGAAGCCATATGAGCTGCCTGGTATAAGCTGGCTTGACTCGCTCTGAAACAGCCGCAAGTTTGTGTCGCGACTTTCTCGAACGTTTCCATGGTATAAAGAGACCGCCAGAGAGAAGCTCCACCGTACCTCACACTGCCACTTCCCGCCATATAGATCCGACTCCGCCACGCCCGCCATCACAAAACGCCTGAGGACCAGTCAACTCATCTGTTATTACGAAACGCTTCATTCTGCTGGCAAGCATCACATTTTATCTACCGCGATCAGCCTCGGCGTGTAGGAAGTGTTTCACTGGCTGAGCGCTCGGAGAAGCTTGACTCCTGCACGAAGCCAGTCTATTTCTGGTAGAAAACGTCTTGTTGGAAGCAGAACACAAAACAAAAGATAAAACAAAAGGAATAAAAAGGATTACAAGCATCCTCCGTGCCATGATGGAGGAGCCTTCACAGAACGGAAGGGCGAGGTCATCGTCCACTGCTGCCCAAAGCAATATCAACTCCCATTACACCCAGGATCCTACCAACAATCAGCTTCACACCAGCCAATCGCTTTCAACAAATGCTAATAGTAACAACAGTTACCCAACAACAACATCAACAAATAACCAGCAATTCCTCTTCACAACTCCCTACCTGACTGCTACATCTCAAGAAGGACTCGGATTCACCACCAATGTGACTGCGCCAGAAAGTCAGTTCAATCAACAAGGAGACTTCTCCCAGGCGTTCGATACCAATTTCCTCGACCAGCTAGACCAGGCCACCTCCGGCATAAACGATAACAGAGACTCACAACCGTTTCCAGAGTTTGATACATCCGATCCGGGGTTCAATTTTGACGACTTCAACACCTTTACACACCAGGATCAGACCTCTGGGTTCAACACATCAACTACCATGATGGGCACTATCCAGCAACAGCCTACCATCAACCCGGCAGACTTTGCTCAACCTCTATCCTCGCCGCAAATGCCCAATTCTCCTCATCTAGTTCCTCCAGAGACTGCTTCATCCCCTAACAACCGTCCTGGTTCTCCGGCCGCTGCTTCGAGCCCCGGTACTTTCTACACGCCGCAGCATTCGCGGCATACCTCTTTAGACCCAGCAAGTGCTGCATATATCAATACTGATGTGCAGTCTAACTGGCAAGGAATACTCGGGAACAGCTCATTCCAAGGCCATCGTCGTGCACCATCAGAGCATTCTGATGTTTCATCCGTCTCTCATTCGCCTTTCCTAGCACAGCATGATACATTTGATACCTCTGCTCATCCTTCTGCACAGCCCTCTCCTCGTCTACCTCCTCAGACAGACCCAAGCCTTTATGATAACGCTTTCGGAATGGAAGCCTTCACAATATCGGAACGTGACCACAATAATGCATTTAGTCCTGCGCATAGCCCTTACATTTCCCCTAGACTCTCCCCGCAGCTTCAGAACACGGAACTGGACCCAGATAACTCACTACTTCTATCCCAAAATATGCCCCAGATGCAAGGGGCCACTCAAGATACATACGTCGGAACGTCAGCTCCGCCAGTACCTAGTTTCCAAGCGCAGCAATCTAGACTTAGTGATATGGGGCAAGCAGCTCAGATGACGCCCCCTTCAATTAACGTTGAATTTGCGCCGCCTTCCAGGACGTCTACCGTGGAAGGCCCGAAGCTGGGTGCAGACGGGGACACGTTAAGTCCTCCTATGAACCGTATGTTTTTTCATCCCCACCATGACATGGTTAGTAATACTGACAATGTATAGGCGCTCGAGGACGTAGTAAATCTGATCCATACATGTCACGGCCAATGGCTCCTTCACTTGGGGTATCTCAAGGAGGAGCGGCCATAAACGCAGGCTCTTTGTCACCATCTAGAGCGCCTGGGGGTACTTTCAGCACACCTTCTTCTAGGGAAGCCTCTCCAGTAAGCAAGAATAGACGACAGTCAACCTCTTCGCTTGATAGTCGTAGCTATATCTTGGACCTTGCAAACCCCCAACGGCCAGGATCCAACACACAAGACTCAAAGCGAGTTCAAAAACACCCTGCAACTTTCCAATGCACACTATGCCCTAAGAAATTCACACGAGCTTATAACTTGCGTTCTCACCTCCGAACTCATACCGACGAAAGGCCCTTTGTTTGTACTGTCTGTGGCAGAGCATTTGCCCGCCAACATGATAGGAGACGGCATGAAAGCCTGCATTCTGGCGAGAGAAGATTCGTATGCCGAGGTGACATGTCAAGTGGTCGCCAGTGGGGATGTGGTCGGCGATTTGCCCGCGCTGACGCTCTAGGTCGCCATTTCCGGTCCGAAGCCGGTAGAGTATGCATTAAACCTCTTCTTGATGAAGAGGCCCTTGAGCGAGAAAGCCTCAATCAACAGCAACAACAACAGCAACAAGGAAATGCTTCTACGGGCCATTTACAGCCGGGTAACCAGCCGCTCACGGTTCCAGGCATGGATGGTTCTGGAGGCTCTTTCACTTTGCCTGCCGCTCTATTGGCACAGTATCCCGCACTACAAGGCCTACAGTGGGATCAAATTGCCGCCCCTGTTGACGATAATAGTGATATTGGCGGGCGAAGCAGCTTTGATGCAAGTTCTGGAGGAGAGTTTGGATTTGGGGATGAAGAGGAACCTGTCAATACTGGATTTTTGAACCAACCGCCTGGCCAGTCGCCGCAACACCAGCTGGTAGGCGATCAGCTTAACCCTAGTACCACAGGAGGTGCTTGGCCACAGCCTGGCCAGGGCTGGACAAATGATTATAATGGCATCAGATAGCATCCATTTCGCTCTTTCTGAGCAGAACATTATATGAGATGGGCTACATTTTCTCCCGTTTATTATCCAACTTCTTCCTCTTGAATTTTTTACTGGATCATTTTTTTTTTTACTTTTTTGTCCTTGCGTCTTGAGCTTTTATTTCGTTTCCTAACCTATATATTATTATCCCTACCGAGGATGGCTTTATCCTGCGTGACACCCCCCTGATATTTAATTTATGGTGGCTTTTCTCGATCTGAATATACCAAAAAACATGCCCCTGTCTATACCACACTGCCATTTAATGACTATTGTACGTCTTTGTTTCTACACCCCAAGTACAGCAGTTTATGACAAAATACATACCCAGCCTTGGATGGCCCGTTGGAAATGTTCAGTTTTTGTCTCTTTTCCTTGCTTTGAGTTTCTACGGCTTCTACTCTAACCGCCCTTGGTTTTACATCATCAGTTGGGTCCGGTTGAAAGAATCAAACTACATCTATACATAAGGTTTGCTTTACTGTTGCTCCTGGAGTTTACCTGGGAGTCGTGCGAGTCATTTAATAGCAACTGAAATAGACTGATTATTCTGGCCCATATTATTGATATCTAAGATATTTCTTTGAATTTGATGGCCCAACAATGTACTCCTAATCTTCAGCGGTGTATAAGTAAACCGGTGTAGATGTGGAGTAATTGATGTCAAGGTGCAATAAACATTTGCAGAGAACCCAAAGATGATGTGTGGTATCTATATAAGTATGACATACTATCGGTTTCCCTAGAAATGCTTGAGATAGATGGTTTGAG